CAATTTGGTGCGCCAATACCACAGCAAAGTCAAGCACACGGCTACGGAAGCAAAGCGAATCAGTGGGCAAAAAAACCCGAGCATTCAAAAACAGCCGGCGAACGTCGACAGTTCAATAGCAATCCAGGAAAAAAGTGTCAAGGCCAGTGGAAAAAGAAGGAAAGCATGGAAATGAAAAATGATTTAAACTAAAACGGATTTCTGCTGACGGGAGGGTGCGGAAATCCGAAGGCCAAGAAAACCCCTCTTCCTTCAAGTTAAATACAGTAATGGTGAAAAATTTGACTCTTCCGAAGATTGAAGTGTTGGTGAATAATATCCCAGCCACCGCACTCCTGGATACAGGCGCGCAGTGTTCCTGTGTGGCAGAAGATTTTTTTAGAAAGTATTTTCGTAAATATCGCATATATAATTCGGATAATACGACAGTGTTAGTTGCGCAAGGAGAAAGATGTAAGTGCATAGGTAAATTACCACTATACATCCGTATCAAGGACGAACAAGTAAAGGTTATGTTTTTCATAGTAAAGAATCTGCAAGCACATTATCTTAGGAATAGATTTTTTTTTTTCAGAGGCACAAGCAACGCTGGATTTTAATGAAGAGTCCCTTAAGCTCACGATGAAACCAGTTCTAGAAAAAAAAAGGCTTGAACCGCCGATGTTAAAATCCTTGACCACCTGCCTAATGGGAGAGCAACGAAGAAATCCGACCAAGTTGGTAAGTGAATTTGCTTCGTTATTTAGTGATATTCCAGGATTTACTCAAGGTTACTAACCATAGTATATGACACCGGAGATTCAATGCCAGTTCGCCACAAAGCCGTACCGATATGATAAGAATAAAGGAAAAAATTATAGAATCGCATATCACCGAGATATGCTACGTAAAAAGATCCATAACGCCTATCTCAAGTAGTTATGCTAGCCCGGTGGTTTTATGTAAGAAAAAATAATGACTATCCATTGAAACACATCCAAAAAGGTGGCGATTTCGCGAATTGACTACCGTAAATTAAACTCCATAACTAAATATCCGGTATATCCGGTTACCTATTATTGAAGAAATTCTAAGGAAACATAACATTCGACCAAATATATGACGACTTTAGACTTACTTACGACTGGTTATTTTCAAATAGGGGTTAGGCCTGAGGACGTACCTAAGACTGCTTTTATAACCAAGTCTGGCACTTATGCATTTCTACGTATGCCGTTTGGCCTTTCAGGGGCACCGGCAACATTTCAGCGATGTATGGACATTGTGTTAAGGCCTGTTCTTGGAAATTCCACATTTATCTATTTAGACGATATCATTATTACTAGTGATAATCTCGACCAACATGTACAGATGAAAAATTGGGTGTCCATGGAGCTGCTATTGTAAAAACAAATTTTTTTTTTTAAATTTCTAGTTTCTAGTGAGAAATGTTTGTAAAAGATTGGCCTCGCATTAGATTCTAGAGCTAAAAGTTTTCAACAAGGTCGTTTTAGACCTCAGTTTCAAACTAATTACCTCTGGCGGGAAGTATGTAAGGATCTTAAGTTTTACTAACGTTTATTTTATTTTAAATCTTTACTATCACTTCTTATTTTCTACTTCCGGCCATAATTAAAAGCTTTAACTTATTTATGCAAAATTTGTCTTGCAAACGCCAAGTACTTAAGTTGTGGCTTTTTGCCAAGCGAGAGAGAGGAAGGAGTTAGTCGAAGCAGGCCGCTTGCCTTACAAGTTTTACTCGGTTGCTAGTTGCCTTCCAGGCCAGAGGTTTAATCCTCGTGATAATTTTTAACGTATTGTAGTGTTAACAGTTCTCTCTACTACATACGGCTTCCTGTTAATATACGGCCAATCTTCCTTGTTTATTATTCCAAAGTTAAGTTAGAGTTTAGTTAAATATTTTTATATTCTTACGTTCAGACCACAAGTAGTTGGTCTCTGTATTCCGAAGTACGGAAATTATTGTAAAGAGTGAAAAATAAAGGGTTTTGTATACCCTTCCTGTGTATCCTGTCTACTTCCCACATTTATTGAACATAGCTTTAGTAAGCTCCCTGTTCCGAGTCAGGTCCTTGAATGTTTGCATGGTCTTTGCATGTTCCCAAAGAAAGTAAGACGGAACATTGAACCTGATAAGTTTACTGAATTATTTTATTACAGCCGACATATAATTACTTCCTTGACTGGAATGTAACTGAAGAGGCTCTCGACACCTGGAAATACCATGGACTGTATTTACAGTTATACTGTGGCAGGCTCTTGATCAGATAGAGGATACACTTCAAGTAACTTTGTAAAGTAACCAATGACAGCGATGATGCATTTGTTATTTGTTGCCATCAGCAGTTCGCGGCAGAGATCCTAGGATAGCGGTGGCATACTTATGACCAGCGGGTCAGACACTGACTTATGAAGGCTTTTTAAATGATTTATTATCAATTTTTTATCATAAAAAAGCGAACGGACAATTGAAAATATCAAAAAATTAAAGTATAAATATCTTACGTCGAATTTATATAAAAAACGGTTTCTCCAAGAAGACGTTGGCAAACTGATTTTCTATCGTGTATCACTCAACACTCAAGTCGCGCATCTCTCATCTCTTCCGATAATTCATTACAGTACCAGTACCAGTGTCAGTAGCGAAGTATCGCTGATTTATCTCGCGAAGGGTGACGCTATTAGCTCAGTCGAAAATAGTGACAAAATGGAACATGAAATTGATGGGTCATGTTTGGATGCACGCCGTGAGAACGGAAGCGTTGAGGCAAAAGAAAAGGTTGTGACTGTTTGTTACCGTGCAGTTTCTAGAGCATTTGAACGTGAATGTTACAGCATGTTACAGTTTCCACAGAATTACCCTGTATGGAATTACAGGACTATGATTGTGGTGAACATCGAATTGATACTAACGACGGAGATTTTGAAACTGAAGATGATTCTGTTCATTAAGTTCACCAACATGAGTTGAATGATTTAGCACGAAATTTTGAACTATCCAAAAAAGCTTCAGAGCTGTTAGCATTAAGACTGCATGAGAAAAACTTGCTTGAAAAAGGAACTAAGCTTTCAATCAAGAAAACGTGCGTTTCTGCAATAGTTTCGAAGTGATGATGGATTCGTGTATTGATGTAATCTTTATGGTTTAATGGAAGAGATGGAAATTTCAGCTTGTAACGCAATTCAATGGCGATTGCTCATCGAATAGCTCAAAGAAAAGATTGAAGTGTGTCCTCCTCCATAATGGAAATTTATTTGGTGCAATCCCAATAAGCCAGTTTCTGTGAAGAATAATGAAGCCATAAAGACAGTCATTGATTTATTGCAATATCACATACGCCAATAGATCATCTGTGTTGACCTTAAAATGGCCTGCATTCTCCTTGGCTAGCAACGCGGATACACCAAGTATCCCTATTTTTTTGTATATGCGATAGTGTAGCAGATCTAGCGAGAAGCATTGGGCGTAGTCGAATTGGCCGCTAAGATCTGGCCTGAAACCTGATGATCAAAACATTCTACATCCGCTACTTGTCAACAGAAAAATATTATATTTACACTCCTGCATATAAAACTAGGTCTCTCCTGAAGCAATTTGTTCTCCTGAAGCTTTGCCAACTCAAAGAGATTATTTCAAGTATCTTATTTTGGTATTTCCTAGCCTGTCATTTGAAAAAAATAATGGCCAGTGTGTTTGATGGTCCACAGATTCCACCGCTCCTTATAGATGAACATTTCATTGGAACAATGACACAACTTCAAAAGAATATTTGGTTAGCATTCAAAAACATTGTCAAAGACTTTCTTGAAAATACACGAGCACAGAATTACAGCTAAATTGTCCAGCAACTTCTGGAGAGCTTTGAAAAATGTTGGTTGCAACATGAGCATCAAATTGCATTTTTTACATAGCCATCTTGATAACTTATCGAAAAATCTTGGTGCAGTCAGTGATGAGAGCAGGGTTAGCGATTCGCTAAGATTTGAAGATCATGGAGGCACGGTACCAAGGTTGATGGAATGTTGTACATATGATATCTGACCATTGTTGGAGCATCAAGCGAGAATGTCCACAGATTAAACACTCCAGAAAAAGCCATAATCGAAATTTTTTACCTTAATATGTATGTTTACCGTTTGGTAAAAAACTTTACTATTTGTACAAACAAAATTTAACTTGCAGTAACCAACTTCTTGTAATTCCTTTATATCAATAAAACTATTCTTTGTGAATAGTATACTTTGCAAGTTTTTCCTTTATATGCATATTTTGTATGACTTTTGAGACAAAGAAAGGGTATCTTATAGCTTAAACGTTGACGTGATACACAAAACCAGAGGTTATTTTTGAATTCAAAGGCCACAAATTTTTATTATTTTAGTCACAAATTATTTTAGTCAAAAATAATTAACAGATATAACACAACGAAATTTCTGTTCCCCAGTGTAATCCCTAAATTTGAATTATCTAACATGCGAAAACTGAAGTATATTTTAATATTTTTATCACAGTGTTACAGCAAGAATTTTAAAGCTAGCAATATCAATAACCGAAAAAAGCTTAAAAATAACAGTTTGCTGTCTCCTTTTGTAGGTACCTCAAATTCCTGACCCCAGTTTTTGCAAAATGTTTATTTTGAATTTAATCGATCATTTTATCCAACACCACATAATAAAAAGAACATATTTACACTTATATACCGTTAATGAAACTCATAAATTACGTAGAATGACTGCGTTTCAATGAAATATAATTAGCGATCCATTTACAATATAGCTGCAATTTATAAAAAAATATATTATCGATTAGTCTTCGCCATGTTTTAACGGTACACTATTTTCTTCCTCCTTTTTGCATGCCTTCGTGGTGTAACGGCAAAACACTCAGCGCGTATTCGAGAGGTCCAGATTACAGTCCCGGCGAGGGCACTGCACATTTTTCATGTCTCTTGCTTCAAAATAACCTAATGACTCTACAACTAAACCTAAGAATTATTTACTTGACGACTGTCTCCATAATGCTCTTCTCCTGAGGCGAAGGCTCATAGTCATCTCCTGGTAGGAACGATTCAGGTAGTAAGCCAAACTGATGAGCAAGAAGATCCAAAGCTTGGAGCTGGAGTTCGAGATTCTTCTGCATCATCATTCGCTTGAATATCTCGTAGTCATCTGCAGCCCATAACTGCTCAAATAGGCTCTGAAATGAAAACGTATTTTTCCATGTAAGTTGGTAATGCTCATATTCTTTATATTTTGTTTTACTTCGAAATATAATAATATATTAGCATATTCTACCTTCTTCTCAAACAAAGTAAATTTTTATCAAGAATGTGGAATATATGATATCCCTACTGAATTTTCTGAATTCTACTAAATTTTCTAAAATGGTAATAAAATATAAATAACATAATTTTTGAAAGAAGTAATTTTTGGTAATGAATTTTGGGCACCTACGACAAATATGATTTTCTCCAGAACAATATAACTGAATGAAAGCAGATTTTCCCAAACAACTGTTTCATTGTAATTACTATTTTCCATACCGTAAATCTCTGCATGATGAATTATACATGAAATGTTGTGGGATCGTAAACAATCTTGAGATCCCAAATATGAAACACAGAAATGTTTGCTCAACAAATTTTTGAAAGGCTAATTTTTGAAACACTGCTGATTATGTAAGTATGTGAGTAACCATTACATATCCATCTATACCGCTTTTACTCTCAATTAATTCGAAACTCCGGCCGCTTTTTCAGAAATGTTTTTTTTTATCATTCTATTGAACTTTTTGTGCAGTTGATTTGATCTGCGGCTGGAATATTTGACATTCGGTCCCATTTCTTGTTTATATTTTATTGCACGCACCATCGTCGTTCTTTTAACGAAAGCTAAGTTAGTTTCATTGCTCTTTTCACTGAGCTTTAAAATAACCTCATAAAGTATAAAGGTTATTTTAATGCGTAGTTTCTGATTGGTTCCTATAACGATTTTGGAGAGATTTATGTTTCTTGTTCATTCTCTAAAGTATTTTAGGACTACAATTAAAACATGAATAAAATTAATCATGAATTACATTAATTATGATTAGGGTCGTTATAATAAGTATGCAATTAATGAATAATAAAGTAGTACCTCAGCAATGGGAATACATTGTAGGTGATTGAATTGCAATTCACATAATAAATGTACCATAGATTTAGGAATTTGTATCATCAATATTATCCGCTAGTATTCTGTTAATATGGTATGCATATATATAAGAAGCTGTTTTACACTGTTGTGTTGAGATGTACTCCGTATGAAACTGCGAGATATTCTGCATAATTTAGATCAGGGGTCGGAAACCTTTATTGTCTAAGGGTCAAATCAACGAAAATCTGCCTATCAAGAAGACGTTTCGGGTCAATAGTATTTTCATCTTAGGAACAGTCTTTCTTCGTGAATAATAACACAAGTTTTATGAAGAAAATATAATAATAATAACAATAATAAAAAGTCTGAAAAAGCTTTCAGATTTTACATTACGCCCAAAGGGAACTTTATTAAACGTTTTGTGTGTTACCTTTATTTATTACATATAATATTCTTCGCACTCAAACCATAAAATTCAATTCAACAACCATATCGCAAATTAATTTCAAAATGAGCATATCTTTAGAATTTCCGATACACGATCACGCGCGCTGGAGATCAATTTTTTTTTTATTTTCGTAGGGTGTTGCCATTGCTCGCTTTTAAATCGTTGATTTGTTAATCAAAAATTCGTTAAAGTGTTACAAAATAGGAAATGGATAATAAAAGAAATTCCAAATTAGGGCTGCTAGATGCCCATATTCGGTGGAGGATTACGTTATTCAAAATTTGATGGCTCTAGGTACCGTTGTTTTATCACAGTGCGAGAAACATATATACTAGTGTCCTGGAGGGCCAGTCCAAACTCGGATTGCCGTGAAGCGATCGGCACTACATACATGTATGCAGATTCGTCATATTTTAATTTCTATAAATATAACGCAGGGCGATAATATTTAGTGGCAACAATTTGAAAATTGAAACGGGCATTTAAAGTGTGGGACGAAAAATGCGTCTAGAACTTTAATTCATAGCCCTTCTAGGCTAATCATGATAATACGCTTTAAACTGCTCCTGTTCTTAATGAAAATTAATTTCATACCTAAAAGTACTTTTTCGCATTTATAAGGGGAACCAAATTTTTGGAATTATGAATTATGGATCGGCATTGCCAAACTTACCGGTTTCTCCTTGAAATTATGTTACAAAAATGTATGTTCGTTACAGCAACTTTGTAATCAAATAAAAATGTTATAGTTATTATTTATTTTCGGTTTATTTTTTTTTATTCTTCAAGTGCTGGTTTCATGCTTAAGTTTTATAATTTATTTTTATATATTATGCTTAATTTTCGGAACTCAAGTAGGCAGCTTGAAATTATGAAATGGATTAGTCGGTGACCCGCAGGTCATAGGTTGCTTAGTTCCGATTTAAGATCACTTTTATTCCGAAATTAGCTTTAAAAGAGCTGTTTTTCAGAAGTTGTTATTTGGAAAAAAAAATGGTCTTTTTAAGAAGGAAAAAGAAACAGTATTGAAGCAATTTTAATACAAGTCAATTACATCTGTTAATATAATTATCCGTATCAGAATCATATAAAATACAGTACCATATTAAGAACAGTAAGAAGGTTTAGTAGGTATGAGCAAAAGCAATAGTGTCATACTGCTTGATGAACGAATATAAGCTGTCATATAAGTTGGAAGACTGAAGACCTTTCATCGATTCTTCCAAAATCGGTTAAAGTATTTTAATTCCTAATGTGAAGTTACAGGAACAGATTTTCATATATTCCTATAGCTTATGCTGTAAACATTAAAAAGATCGATGCTAAATCCATCATAATTTTGAAATATACACATTGGATTCAATTTATTAAGCACAAGAGGACACAGAAAAAAACAGAGGACTATTGTTCACACAGAAAAGCACAAGAGGACTATTTGCTTAAGCAATGGTTCTCATCCTGTTTTGTCCATGCAGCCCGTTCACCATTTTCAGAAAATCATTCCTCACACATCTCCTTTCAATAACTCAGAAAATACATATATACATTTATTTAGATTCAGATTACTTTTATCGTGTTTTATAAATTACATAATAAAAAGTACAGAAAATATTGAAAAATATTATAACTTGAATAAAAATAATTTTTTACATTTATAAACTAAAACTAAATACTTAATAGCTAAATAAAAGGCTGAGCGCGTCCCTCCTGAAAAAATGAATTTCGCCTTCAGAGGAAACACCGCTTCCCCGTTAGAACCCCTGAGCTAAAAGAATAGATATATTCTTAGAAAACTTTTGAAGGGTATTTGGCCCATAGACATAGGAAAATCCACGAAAACAACCGTTTATTAGTGTTTATTTCCTGAATTCGGTGTTTAATTTCGATTAAAATTAGTGTTGGGCAGTAAAAAGTAAATATCATATTTAGAGTCAGCAGTATAAAATTTGCTTTCCAAAACTATACCATTTCTAAAAATTTTTGGCGAATCGCTTTGAAACATTAAAATATTAGTAATGCATTTTTCTTAATTTAAAGTTTTTGAAAAATTTAGTATACGGGAAAAAGTTTAAACAATTCTCTTTGTTTGAATTTTAAAAAGTTTAAAGCAGTTTTTTTTATAATTATGGAGGTCTGGCAGTATATAACGGCTCTGTGGAATACGCATATAAGAAAAGCTTTATCATAACAGATTTTTAAATTTATCAGGAAAGAAAGGTCGTGCTAAATGTATACAGAAATGAAAGGAGTTCCGAATAAAAAAATTTAGAATCATTTGCACTCTATTTATCAAGCGAATTACCTTCCGGAATTGGGAATGTATATTCTTCTCGCTTTCAGAACATGCCTTATCGAATTCTTCCGGAGAAATGCCTAAATCTTCCATATGACTTCCTAATAACGTGTCTACCTAAAAACAAACAAAAGAAAAGACATTGAAAGACAGCTCATTTATAATAAACAGATTACAAATTTAGGTTAAGCACTAAAGTGAAAAACTTTTCAAGTTTTAGCTCGTTCTTAATAAAATGAAAATGAAAATATTTCTAAGAATTGGATAGTTTTAGAATTTCAGAGAGGAAGAAGTTTGTGGTTTCAGTTAGAAATATTTAGAGATGAACCAAAAGAAATCTAAGTTGAACTAAAAAAATGAATTGATATATTTAATTTATAACAAAACCAGTTGCATTTTACTAATGAATATTTAATACTGTCGCATGCGTACGGGTTCATAATGGATTGAATGCAGACAGAATCAATGATAATTTGATAAAATTTGTTTTATCAAACACTTTACATTTCTTGAACGTTTCACAAAAATACTTGTGCACCTCTTCTCAGTATCACAGAGTAAAATCAGTAGTTACACTTCGAACTACTAAGAACATTAAAAACAGCAAAATGCAAAGCGCATCGAAAAGGGCAAAGCTCCTACGGACATCTCTCAATACTCCAAACTCACGCTAAACTAAACAACTCTGAAACTGATGCTCTCCTTGGTCTTATATAGTTTTTCCCAGCCACCGAGAAATCTCTAGTATCTTCCACTTCTCGAAATTACTGGAAGGCAAATGAGGGCCGGATACATTACAGATCTATTACATTTATTCAATCACAATATAAATTGCAGTTTTACAGGAACCGGACCTAAATGTCACCAAATGGTCGCCAGGTTTAGCGACATCTGGCTATTCCTCGCCAAATTTGGCCACAAAAATTAATTGCCAAAACCATCGCCAGCTTGGCAATACCTCGCCATTTACCTCAATGTTAAATATGATCTATGTTACTCTCACCTGTAATCTTAGTTTTCCAGCAGACATCCGTCTGATTCGAGCATTTCATGTTATATTTTACAAAAAATACCATAATTTCACCAATTTATTTACATCTATACACAATACACAATTCGTAACAAAACGTTTTAGAAAAGGTAACTAGTTCAAAACAAAATAAAGATTTTATTCAGCTGTTTAGTAAAATTGTAAATTTAACTTAAAAACTGGAATTTGAGAGAAATTTAAGAAACCAACTTTTAAAAATTCGACAGTTCTTATCACGACTCCAGCATAACTTAACATACATTTATATAAATGAAACTGATGTAAGTAATGCTACATATACATAAAACTTCAGCATTCCTAATTATTATATAAATTTGGTATAAGATTGTAATATGATTTTTGTCATTTCTGATACCTGTAATGCTGAATGAAACTTTTTAAAGCTCATATTTAAGAAGAATATTGAAGATTTAATTTTTGTTTCAATTCAGAGTTTGAATGTGTTGAACATCTTGCTCTTGCATCCACTAAAAATTTTGAATCACTTAAACAACAATAAAATGTTTAAAAAGATGTCTTTCATAGAAAAAATGCAGCAAAAAATTTGTATAAGTTAGCAGGGCGTGCGAGGAAATCATGTGGTGTACACATCAGATATTTTTATTCTTATATGTTAGTAAACTATGCATTTTTTCCCTTCGACAGTGATTGAATTATGTATGGTTTTAATTGTATTATGTATAGCTGAAATATGTATTGTTTTATCTGTATTCGGCACAATACGTTTTTTTTTTTTTTTTTTTTTTTTTTTTGTGTGTGTGTGTATGTATTTAACAATTTTTAGTGAAGATGTTTTGAATTTTTAAGTATTTTTGCCTTGTTGCGAAATAAGAACTGAATTCATTGAATGAGCATATCTCTAATGAAATTCGACGAAATAATTTAAATGAAGTGCAGCAAAAAATGTGTATAATTTAACAGGCCGCACAAGGGAGTCATGTGGTGCCTACATCAGATATTATATTAGCACCTTTTATAGTTTAAGTTTTTTCCTTAAAACTATTATTGTAGGGAAATGAAAAAGTATTGTTGCGGGCGTATGGCTTCGTAGCACACAAGTCCGATGATAGGTTGATAAAAGTTATTTTATCAAAAGAAACATTGCAGAGTTCTCGAACTTTCCTCAGAAATAGTCGTACAATTCATCCCAGTACCACAGAGTATAATCAATAGCTACACTTCAAACTACTATGGATGTTAAACACAACGCAATGCAAAGCGCAGTTAAAGAGATATCTCAGTACTCCGAACTCACACTGAACTAACACCTAGCAAAAACAACAACTCAGCAGATGCTCTCACCGGCCCTATATAATTTTCACCCGGGGGGAGGCAAGATATTTCTAGTACTTTCTGCTTCTTGAAATTGCTGGAATGCATATGAATTACAATTACAGCTAATATAGTGATTAATTACATTTTTCAATTGCAATACCTATTACAGTGATACAGCGACCGGACCAAAATGTCTCCAGGTTTGGCGACTTTTGCCGATTTCTCGCCAAATTTCCCGACAAAAATTAGTCGTCAAAACGGTTGCAAGCTTGGCGATATCTCGCCAAATTACCAAGATATACATTTACTCAATGTTAGACAGACTTGGCCTTGAATTCTTACTTTTCCGGCAAATCTTATCTATTTAAATGTTTTCACCTTACATTACACAGGCAAATACAACAATTTCATGTATAATTGCACTAAAATAATCTATTCTATGTACCAATTCGTAACACTGCTCTCCTCTCAAGGACAGCACGTCCCGGGCAGTACAAACCCTGAATAGGAAGCCATACTTACAACTAAGGCAAAACAATGCAATATTTTCAATAAATAACATAAAGAGGAAATAACATTCAATAAATATCATAAACAGGACATAACATTCAGTAAATAACATGGGTTTAATGTCGCTGTCTTCCAACTGGTCTTTCCCGACTTCTTCGTCACTCCGTGGGTCTGGTTCAGTCGATGTTGAAGTTGTAACTTGTGCGACAGGATTCAGAAGCTCGTACTTCGCTTCGACCCTAGAACAGTATCGGGGGAAAGGGGGCTCTTCTAGACAGGACGTCGACATATCCATGTGATGATTCCCTTCCGATGACGGATAGTTATGTCCTCAGAGGCTGAATGCAATTCGTTTTTTTTTTTAAAGTCTAAGGAAAAGCTGTATTTCATTAGAAAGTCCAATCCGAGTATGCAAGCACCTGTAATATCTGCCACACATGTCGTGTAGGCGGCACTGCCAAACGTGGTGCTTATTCTTAACTTCCGATATATTTCGATTTTATCACAAGTCGCTGTTTGAAGAGTAACGCAAAATGGCGTCCGAATGAGTTTATCTTTAAACTGTTGAGCTAAATCTTTATGAAAAATGTTAACATTGTCTTCTGTGTCGATGGTCATACTGCAAGGAACTCCAGTGATATGTCCTATTATTAAAGGGTCCAATATTGCCGCCACTCATTTCAGAAATCTGAAGCGCTTTAAAATGGGGCTTCTCATTATCTGGCAATCTCCGCTCCTTGAAATGTCATTAATTTGTTCTGGTCACTTCTATTCCGTCTCAAGGCATTGACTTGTGTGGTTCAATCGTCTGCCTTATTTTCCGTGTTCCTTGGGGTGATCTGCAGTTCCTTCGTACCTGGCCTTCTGCATCACATTTTGCTTGCTGGGCTGTCTCGAATTTCATGGCGTACAGTACAGCGCTTTCAAATCTTTGGCATTCGCCATTCGTAGACCTTTCTTTACTTCAGGATCCTGAAATAAAGCAGTACTGCAGGGATTGAATCAATGATGAATGACTCTGTGATACTGGGAATCCTGAAATCAATGCAGTACTGCAGGGACAGAATTTTCCTTATTTCTGATGGGCAGTCGGAAAAGGGTAAATGAGACAGCCTCTCAATTTCCGTGGCGAGCTCCTGGAGTGTTACTGTAGTACTGAATTGTACTGAATTGAACTGAACTGAGTGTACTGAATTGCTTTCAAATATTTCTCCCCAAAGCGCGACTCCAACGCGCTGGATTGAACTTCGAAGTCTAGCCTTTGATTTTCGCGAAGAATATGAAGTATATCCGCTTCCTCTGCTCTCAGAGAAGAGGCTAGATGACAGGCCTTAGCTTGGGATTCTTCCGTTGACGGGATTTTAACTGAAGTCCAATGATCAAGTCTGATGATAGGTTGATAAAAGTTATTTTATCAAAAGAAACATTGCAGAGTTCTCGAACTTTCCTCAGAAATATTCGTACAACTCTTCCCAATATCACAGAATATAATCAGTAGCTACACTTCAAACTACTACGGATGTTAAACACAACGCAGTGCAAATTGCAGCTAAAGAGATATCTCAGTACTCCGAACACACTGAGCTAACACCTAGCACCTAGTCTTTCAAATATTTCTCTCCAAAGCGCGACTCCAACGCGCCGGGTTGAACTTCGAAGTCTAGCCTTTGATTTTCGCGAAGAATATGAAGTATATCCGCTGCCTCTGCTCTCAGAGAAGAGGCTAGATGACAGGCCTTAGCTTGGGATTCCCATCCATTCGCTTCAGCCACTATAGAAAATTGTGTCTTATATACTTATCAGGAGGTCTTACTCTCATATCTGGACAGCTTTAGAGAGAGACAAGAAGGCATGTGTAAAAATTTAAATCCATCAGAATTGCTTCCTGCTTTTGCTACGAATTTTAGAGTATAAACTTCTTTGGGGACCGCAGAAACCCTGTTATCAACTTGCTGTTCGATTCCTTCTTGGACGGCAGAAAATCTTTCAATTTGTTTTTCCATAGCAGAAACTCTTTTTTTTAATATCTCCAACTTTCTTTTCAGCTGTGTTTATTCTGCATTTCATAGCCTCGAATTTGTTTTGTACTTATATATGTAATTTCTGTTTTCGTTTCCCTTTGATCTGTTTCAATCCTCTCGAAGCGCTTTCATTTCCTCTTTAACCCCTTCGAGCCGGGTAGCGAAAACGCGCGCTTATCGCGGAGGTCGGCAGTGTCTTCCGCGAGCGTCTCTCCAGGGCCGGGGCTTTTTTGCTACTAAGCCTAAATCCATGAAATTTCCGAAGTATCAACGCATTGTTTAATAATGCTCTGAGCATTTAAACGGCTTATGCTTTATAGATATTTTTATATATATACTTTAATTACCTTATTTCTTGTTTAAATGCATATTTTACACATTTTATTTTAATTACTCACCATTTTATGACTTTTAACATTATAATCTGAAAACTAAATATATTACTTAAAATTCTCTTTTCGTATGAAAAATTTTAAAACAGGGATCTACACACAGTTCCTACGTTACATTCCTTGAACTCGTAATAACTCATTTGCCGTTTTGGAGGATTTTTTCCGGGAATGTGAACAAACGAAGCATCGTCGTCTCATTTTCTTATCAGTCTCTTCTGAACAAAGTTTTCGAAAATGTTCTTTCAGTTAATCTTTCAGAATCAATATCAGAATATCAGAATTTCAGAATCAATATCTGAAATATTTTGCATCATTTCTGCTATTTCATGCTCTGTTAAACATTTTCGACGTTTCGACATTGAAACGGTAAAAACAGAAAGAATTCACGTGTAACAAGATCTAATTATTTTCTAAAAAGTGAACTGTAAACAGAAATACTCAACGCTTTAGCGCATATAAAACTTCTACTTACAATAAACAACTACCACGTGCGAATAAAGTGCGATTTAAAGAGACGTCATAAATCACGCCATTCGGAAACATTTAGTTCCCCGTTTGTTTATATAATCAAAAACACGTGTATGTGAGTCATGCTTCTCTCATTTCGAGTAGAAGGTCTAATGCACATGTATCTGAAACCATATGGACATACAGTGCCATCTTGTGGCAGAAATTATAGTTTGAAAAACGTTCCAAGGTACTGGCACAAATACGTGACAGTCGGTAGAGAATGCAACAATGCTCTGGCACGCCTGCGTGTCGGCCGGTAAGTAAGTGTGTTCGTTGCTGGCACGTATACGTGACAGTCGGCGCGAAGGGGTTAACCGATTCTTGGCGAGCTTTCTTCTCTCCTTTAAACTCAGCAAGGGCTGCCACTAACTGTCTTAATTTCTCGTCCATCACTCTTGTCACTGGCATTCAGCGCCACTTCTGACACCAAAACGTGTTGCGTGCGTACGGGGTCCTAATAGATTGAATGCACACAGGTCCGATCATAGACCGATAAAATTTTATCAAAAAAACAAAGTTCTGGAATTTTACACAAAAATATCCGTTCAACTCCTCACCATATCACAGAGTACAATGAGTAGTTACACATCAAACTACTATGAACGTTAAACACAAATCAATGCAAAGCGCAGGTAAAGAGAAAGCTACCCGGAGATATCTCAGTACTCCGAACTCATGCTGAGCTAACAGCTAATAACAACAACAATAACTCAGGCCAGATGCTCTTACCGGCTTTATACAGTTTTAACCCGGCCGATGAGATATTTCTAGTACTTTCTACTTCTTAAAATTACGGGAAGGCAATATGAGGGTCGAATTACGGTTACAGGTAATACAGTGATTAATTACATTTATCCAATTACAATACTTATTACGATGATACAGAGATTGGACCAAATTGTCTCTGGCCCACCAGCGGCCGAGCGGTAAAGACGCTGAATACTGGTAGTTTGCTCCGAGGTTCGAATTCCGTGAACGGGCTGGCTGCATGGGCGTTTTCGAGGTTTTCCCCATGTGTAACGTGTATACGAGCCAGTTTCCCTTAGAACGTTCTCCACGAAGGTATCCCTCCCTTTAGGAAGATAGCCCTAGTGTGCTTTGCCTGCCATAATTGAATAATCCAATCCAAATTGTTTCCAAATGATCACCAAGTTTAGCGACTTTTGGCTATTTCTTGCCAAATTACACATTTACTCAATGTTAGACTTGCCCCTGTATTCTAAATTTTCTGGCATAGCTTGTCTGTTTAAATTGTTGTTATGTATAGCTTTATTAGAATGATCAATCCAAGCATATAAAACAGCTGAAGTATCACACAAGAACAATGAAAAAGAACAAATATTTAAAGTAAGAATCAGAATAAATGAACATGGGAACAAAAGTAAAAAATTATAAATTTAAACAACAAGGGAAGGAACATAGGAGATCTAGTCTTTTCAAGTAGTTAATGAAAGCTCGCCATTTCAGTATAGTTTACTTATCTCATCACGTTTCGTACTAGTTCTAGACGTATTAGAAAATGCTCTGCATTCCTGATGCTCGAATTGCAAATTTGGCATATTCTAGATGGAAGGATGCCAATTTTATTAAGATGATGTGCCATGCAATCGTGGCACAACCTCTTTGGAGCCTGAAGTTTGCCACAGCCTCTTTACGAGGTTTTTGACAAAACATTTTCCATGTTTCTTGAATGTTAGCCCAGGCTTTGCCTGCTGATTTTGCTGTCTTGTCAGATTTAAGAGTATCCATTAATTTCTAAAAAATATACTTTTTAAGTGACTGTGGAGGAAGTGGTTTGCTGTTTTGTGGCTCAAGTGGCTAGTGAGTGCCTTTTCGTCACCGTATATTTACATGAGAAGGGATCCATTGAAAAACGCTTTTTTTTTTTTTTTTTTTTTTTTTTTGGTTTTATAAAGAAATTTTAAGGTTTGTCTTATTTCTGAGATAATCTGGGTATCTGACTATCTGGTGTCTAAGTATCAGCCTGGATGGCTGCTTTGGAATCGACCAGAATAACTGCTTTAGATAAATAATCGTTCTTTATCTTGAGGTTTTGCAGAGCCAGTGAGATTGCAGGGATCTCTGCATCAAAATTCGACATGAAGCGTCCCACAAGAGTACATTGAGAATAAAGATTACTACACCAGCCCCAGTGTTGTCTTGTATTTTAGAGTCATCAGTTTCCCAGGTCATTAATATCTAGCTGGTATTTGATATCATTATATTCAAGGTGATTAACCATGACCTTGTTACAATTCGTTGGTTTGTTTTCATCTGTTTCTTGTAATAATTTCTCATAAGCCTCTAAGGAAGTCATCTGGGTCTTCAAGCTGCGTTCAGATGACGGTATAAAGGACATAAGTGGTTTAAGCCGAGCTGCACTGACAGGCAACCAGTCTGTGCTACGTCACAAAATCTGTTTTAAGGCTCTTGGCATAAAGTTCGAAGTTTTCACCTTTATGCCGACTTGGGATAGGCGTCGACCAATCGGAGCGATCGTGCGAAACGTGAATGGGAAAATAGAGTGGGAAAGCTGTAGACACAATTCAACGCATGAGCAAATTTAGATTCTCTAAGTGGGTGCGGCTTAGACCTGTGTCGCAGGTGTGAACAGAATTCTCGCATTTTATTCCTTGTGACTCTGCCTTTGTGACATTCACGTCGCTGTCTGAACGCAGCCTCATAGTACTTGGTTTGAATTCGTTCATCCATTGTGCTCTATGGAGGAGGCAATGTTACTCGCCTCCGTAATATCTTTAAATCACACGTGCTTCCTGGATGACGCTAAATAAGTAACAGCTATGGCTAAAGTGTCTCTTTAAATTTTTTTGCGTTTCTTTACACAGGCAAATATAACAGTTTCATATATAATTGCAGTAAAATCATTTATCTGTGTAAAAATTCGCAACTGTATGCTTATTAAATTTCTGAGACACAACTTGATTATACACGTTATTCATCTTTGCTTTAATTTTCGTACA